TCCAAACTCTAGAAGATGGTACCAAATTACTTTTAAAAGAGAATATTCTTCCATCCAGAGGAGATATTTGTTTATTCAATATTGAAAAGTCAAGATATTGAAATCAATGTCAAATAGCATAAACATTATTATTTCTCTTTCAAACACATTTTTTGTAAACTTATAAAAGTATGTAAAACATCATTTTATTAGTTTTTTGGTCACAGATTTTTATTAAAATTATTTTTTGGTAAAAAGGTAAAAAAAATCATGAAAAGATACATAATTTAATATTAAACACAAGAAAAACAACATATTATAATTATTATTATTATTATTATTATTATTATTATTATTATTTGAAAAAAAAAATAGACCATCCCAAGTTCAATATGTAGGATTCCTACATAAGTATCTACATAAGTATTTACATATGGCAAACTTCTTTTAAGAAATGAGGGATTGAAATTGAATTTCTTATTTAGGCTAATTGTTGATGAATCCAACAAACCAAACTCTTTAGGCCAAGTATATTCACCAACTAATTTTTGATCTTTTTGTGAATTTATAAATAATTAATATATTTACATATTAAAAATTTTATTACATAAATGATTTTTGTGGTATGGCATAACATGTTAAGGTGGTTTTGTCCAACAATTTTAACTCTCATCCCTAAAACATTTAAAAAAACCGTTTGTTTTCCCCTTCCATAGTCACTCTCACCCCAGGCCGGTCCATTGTTTTTTGCTATCCTGGGTGAGATAAAAAAAAATTGTATGTCTTTATATATAAAAAAATTAGAAAATCAAAAATATAGTAAATTTTATAATCAAACAAAAAATACAAACAAAAACCTACGAAAATCACCTAAAACGATGTCTTCGTGCATTTTTCGAAGCAAAAACATCTCTTATTTTACAATAATCAATATTTTGTAAAAACTCACTTTCAATACTTAAAATTGATAATTCATTCAATCTTTCTTGAGTCATAGTGTTGTGGAGATATGATTTCAAAAGCTTCAATTTTGAAAAACTTCTTTCCGTGGAAGCAACTGTAACTGGTACTGTCAACAAGATCCTATATGCAACCAAAACGTTAGGGAAATGTCCAAGGACTTTCACATTTGTATGCTTCAATCAATAATATTTTTTGCAAAATTTGCAACTCAATAAATAAACGAATTCCATCAATATCACAATCTTCACCACTTGTCAAGTTGGACTCAAGATTTAAACAACATTTTTTTAATTCATCATCATCTAAAGAAACTAATTTGGAACCATCAAATAAGAAACCAAATATAGATTGAAAATATTGCATTTGTTCAAATCTACTTTTTCAATTGAACAAGAGTTATATCTACTATAACAATAAAATAATATCTTTTAAATGCTTCTTGATAGAATTGGTGTTCTCTTTCGGTATTTGGAATTTCATCAAATTGTTTTTTTCTTTGATAATCACGTTTTTAAAAAAAAAATAAAATCAGGTTTAACATTAACAGTATTTGCTATTTCTTTAGCTTCACTAATAGCAAAGTCAAACTTATTTTCCCTATATCCTTCAAAATAATTAATTAAGCCCTCCAAATATTTTACGGCAACATCAATAAGCATTTCTTTGGATTGTAATTTTTTAATAACCAAATTAATTTTGTACAAAACTTCATACCATATAACTAAACTTAAAATAAACTCAAAACTAGAAAATTCACCATTTACTAGTGAATCAGCATCTCTACACACTTGTCAATTATCACTTTCTTTAGATAATTTTTTTTAGAACAAATTACATGAATGGTCCTTTAGGTTTTGGATTTTTTTTTTCCTAATGTAGTCCCTACGGTACTTTTTTCCCTCAAATAGTACCTATGGACCATAAGTTGCACGTGTTTTGTCCCCGAGTTGGATGTCCGTCCATTCCAACGTTAAGTTGCCCCCATGTGACTTGCACATGAGGGTATTTATGTCATTTTAGCCTAAAGGACCTTTTCTGAACATATAAATTAACGCTTATATTACTTCTTCTTGTTATTCCTCCTAATTCAATCGATCACTACTACTATTAGAGAAAGAAAGTTGTGGAAAATGCTGATATGTGCTTGTGGAAATCGTGATCTAGCCATCGTCACTTCATGGTCAGATCGCAACCTTGGAAGGCAATTTTGGTCTTGTCTTCGTAATGAGAGAAGGTGTGGTTGGAGTGGGTGGTTTGATGAGCCGATGTGCCATAGATCGGTGGAAGTGATACCTAGGTTAATTAGGTCTATGAACAAGCTCCAAGAATCTCTTCAACAAGCTACACTGCAAGCTAGGATGTATAAGTTAATCATTCTCTTCAGTTGGGCTCTTTTTTCAACTCATTACTTGAAGCATGGTCGAAGTCGCCTCTGAATGTGGTGTCTAAATGCAAGAAGTAGTGTCGTAGTCATAGGGTTAATGTACTGGTGGTCTTATTTTGAGTCTGAAGACAGGAAATTGTAGCATGGTTTATGTATTGTTTGTGTCTTTTTTGAGTTTGACTGCAGTAAATTATGTTATGGTTAATGTTGTCTTAATGTTATAGTCTTTTTGTAATCAAATGGTTTAATTTCAGAACAGGTTATTGTGTTATGGCTTTGTGCAATCAAATATTATTGACAAGAACACCAATTCAACATGCATGACCATACACTTTAAATATCACAAATACTAGTTAACAAGAAAAAGAATATAACAAAAATGCTATTGTATATCACAACAACAGTTGACATTGTTTCATAGTTTACCTATGTGTGTACAATGATTCAAGGTCAACATGCATGACCATACAAAATAAGGAGCCCAAAGTAAGTATTGTTTGGTACATAAACATAGGTGTTAACATAACCATAAAAGTAAAGTGCAAATTACATCAAAAGACCTAATGGTTCTCAACCACCCCCTTCCTCACTTCTATCCTCCTGTTTCTTCAGTTCTTTTGTCATTAGGGCCACCTTGAACTTTACAAGTTCTTGAATTATGCCCTTTGTTGTTGCACTTTCTACATGTGAAGTGGTCCACCTCTTGGACAGTTTATGCCCCTGTGTAGCAGGTTCATCATATGTCGTCTTCCTTTTCTTCTTGGGCCTACCCACCTACAAATGTACAAAAGATTAAATTGTTGTTCTTAAAAAAACTGCAGTTATATTGATATATGAAGACATACCTGAACAACATGTTTAGGTGGAAGCAACTTGGTTGGGCATTGTGATTTGGGCCACATCAATCTACTATTTACAGGTTCAATTTTGTGTTTGTACACTTTTGCCCATGTAACTAGCCAGTAGCATGGGTGGACCCAATGCTCCAACTCGGGAACATTCTTTACTCCATGTTTAATCTTGTCCCATATTGCACTTATTGCATGTGAGCATAACATGCTTGTAATTTCCCAATGTCTACATGTACATGCTTTTTCATCCAAATTCATAATAAACTGATCACCCCAATGAGTAGTGACTTGAGTTTTAACCCCATTGAAAATACACATGTGCTTTTGTGCTTGTCTTTTCATTTGATCAAGAAGACTAGTGGCCATTGGTGTGTGAGCACCATGGCATCTATCAATCTCTCTTTGGACATTTCAAATTCTCTTCATCAAATATTCTCTAATATACTCCAAACAATAAATGATAGGTTTTCCCTACCACCTTCTATTTTTCCATTCAGAACCTCACATAGGTTATTCAACAAGATGTTAGTATGTGCCCTCCCTGTTTAGTCATATAATACAAAATGAGAACAAATCTTAACAATGACAAGTAAATGTTAACATAAAGGAAAGATAAAGCACTAACTTGAAAAATGAGATCTTGCCCAATGAGCTGGAGGAATCTGTATCAACCAATCATGAGCTTCAGCTTTGAATTTATTTAGCTCTTCTAATGTTTTCTCATAATGCCTTACAATAGTAGCAGTTGCACATGCCCACACCAAATCTTTGAGCTCTTTATCCTTCCACTGCCTTTTCATATTTTTATAAATATGCGTCAGACATAACCTATGCTCAGCTTGAGGTAAAAGTTTGGCAATTGCAGGAATGATACCCGATTTAAATATTTCAATACTTAGTTGACTAAATAACAACAATATCAAATTAAATTGAAGTATATGTACCTTCTGCCTATCTGAGATGAAAGTGAAGTTTGAATTAGCATAAAGTTCCAAATCATCACCAAGTTGTTCCAAAAACCATGTCCATGAATTGGTGGTTTCATTCTCAACAAGAGCATATTCAAGAGGATATATCCCATTATTGGAATCTACCACTACGACAGTCAAAATTTGACCAAGATAGGGACCTTTCATGAAAGTACCATCCAACCCTATGAAATCCCTTAGATTAGCCTTAAATCCTTCCTTTAATGCTCCTAAACAAATGTAAATTCTCCTAAATGTCCTTGTATCAAAATTTAAATTTGGCTCATTGTAACAATCGATCTTCACATTAGTACCTGGGTTTCTTTCCATCAACTCTAGTCTATAGTCCCTCAAAATAGCATATTGTTTCTGAAAATCCCCAAAAACATGCTTCTGAGCCAATTCCTTTACCAATGTACCTGCATTCTTGACATGTTCATCTCGAATTTTTGGATGAGATCTTCTTGAAGCGCATTGACTGGAATGGTTGGATTACTCTCAATTTGCTTAACAATGTTTTCTGAAATGAATTTGTAGTTGCAAGCTTTAATGGTTCTTGATTTCACACACCGATGTTCACTAACTAGGGTGTTCACTACCCAATCATCTCTCTCTTTAGGTCTAGACACTAGTACAACCCAAGGACATTTACCCTCTTTCATATTTACTCTTTTGTCCTTGAATCAAGTCCTTGACTTTGTCTATGGCCCACCACTCATATCTGGGACCACTCCTCTACACTTAGCCCTAATCCTTTTTTTGTTATTTTTTTGTCAAAATGTAAATCCCTTTTGGTTTCTACTGCATGTTTGTTTATATATTCTTTCACATCTTTCTTTGTTTTGAACTTCTGTCCTAATTTGAAAGCCTTTTGATGAAATACACCCTTAGAACAACTTTTTCCTTTCTTATGTCTCTTAACATCCTCTCTCTGTTGTTATCTTCATCTACAATAGGTGACTCAAACAATTCTGGGTCTATGACCTCCAAATATTCACCTTGAGTAAAGTCAACACCACTACCACTTGCTTCTTTGGTGGTTTTTTGAACCCACTCAACATCTTCATCAACATGTATATGAAATTCTTTCAAATCAACATCCACATCATCTACAATATTTTCTGAATCCATAAAGAAGTTTTCGTCCTCACTCTCATCATTTGTCATATTAACCCCACTCCAAGGACCCTCACTAACACTTTCCTTACTTCCAGATTATTCATCCTCAAAAAACTAAACATCATGTAGATTTTTCCCCCACCATATTCTGCGTCCACATCCCCCATTACCTCATAATCATCCCCTATGTCAACATTTTTTTTACCATGGTTATCCTCAAACTGTACCCCCCTAAAGGGATCACTCTCTCGATCAACTAAGTTTTTTTGTTGATTACAGGTTCATAGGGTACAATTAACTTTGACAAATCAGTGGACTCATTCAAATCCAACTTTTTACTACATGAACCAATTGATTTCCTTTTCATTCTAGCCATATTCATTTAAGGAGAATCATTCCCTTCAACTTCCTCAATACGAACCTTCAATAGGGACTTAAAGTAAGGGACTACTCTAGTATTTTCCATGCTCGATGTACAAATTAATTTCCTTATGATTAAGGGCATACCTTGCCAGCTGAATGACTTCTTGATCGGTGCCAAGGGGTAACAATCCACTATGCAAGTCTGTCTTTGGGATCATGAAATGGTAAAACATTATACCTCCGTCATTGTACCCTAAAACTGCCATCATATCATCTAACTCGTGTAGTGAAAACACATCCATGTCCACAAAATCAAAGTGATCAACAAGCCCATCTATGTATGACCTTCCAGATACCGTATTTGTGAAAGAACCTCCATGATTTATCTTGAATGTGCAAAAGCTTGAAATAGAACCTATGAACATTCAAGAACAATAAAATGTTAATGATGGAGGAAAGAAAAATTACATTTCGTCAAAACCTAACATTACAAGGTCCGTGCTACAATATTCTTTACCTAGGTAAGGTGGTTGGGTGTAGCGTGGATGTAAAGACCACAATGTGAGTACCATTTTCCTCGATACACCCTTCAATCAGTTAAACTGCAACGGCCAATGACGATAAGAACTCACGATTGAAGAAGATGGGATGATCAAAAGGTTTTCTTGGGGAAAGAGATATAGTTTAAAGTCAATGTCTGAAACTAAACCCCACCACCTTAATGGATATAGCTATTAATTAATATGTTCAGAAAAGGTCCTTTAGGCTAAAATGACATAAATACCCTCATATGCAAGTCAAATGGAGTAGCTTAACGTTGGAATGGATGGACATCCAACTTGGGGACCAAACGCGTGCAACTTATGGTCCATAGGTACTATTTGAGGGAAAAAGTATCGTAGGGACTACATTAGGGAAAAATCCAAAACCTAAAGGACCATTCGCGTAATTTGTTCTTTTTTTTTAAGCTTTGCTTATTTGGGAAAATTGTGTTTTTATTGTTTTAACACTTTCAATATGACTTTCCTAACGAGTAGATGATAATGATTTAAGTGTTAGATCATCTATAAATTGAAGTAAAACACTCCATCTTTTTGTTGAATTAGAAAAAACATTATAAATCGTTTGACATGTATCAAAAAAAAAGTTTTTGCCTTATGAAAAGAATTTGCCATATCACACAAAACCAAATTAAACTATGACATCCACAAGGCATATAAAAAGCTCTACTATTTATATCAAGCAATCGTTTTTTAACACTTTGGTGTTTTCCTTTCATATTTGCCCCATTATCATACCCTTGACAACGAATATAATTAATATCCAAATCAAGAGATTTTAGAGCATCTTGTAAATCATTAGAAAGACCAAGACCGGATGTATCTTCTACATTTAAAAACTCTAAAAAAACTCTTCTAGTTTTAATGGAACACTTTCCAAATGTACACATCTTATAATCAAAGTCATTTGTTCTTGATGACTAGCATCCGAAGTGCAATCAAGAATTACAGAAAAATATTTTGCATTTTTTATTTTTTTTAATAATTGCACTTTTTACCTCGGATGCCAACATTTCAATTAATTCATTTTGAATTTTATGACTAAGATAATGATTATGTGTTTCTTTGTCTTTAATCATTCGAAAATGTTCGTTCATTATCGAATCCCACTCAGCAATTGATTCAATTACACATAAAAAATTACCATTTGAGTTCTCATAAAAATTTTCATTTGTACAACGAAAAGCTAAGTTATTTTTTTTTAAACATTTGACAATAGAAAAAATTCTAACCATAACTTCTTTCCAATGTTCGGTATCTTTTTTAATCATTTCTTGTAGCTCTATATCAATTGTTTCATTTTTATTTAACCTAATACACGTTTCAGTCCAAGTTCTTAAACAAATCATATGATCAGAACTATTTTCATGTTGTTTTAATGTTTCACTAAGATGCTTCCAATCTTTAATTCCTTCGGTTGCCAAATTACTTTTAGTTCGAACGGTTTTAAAAAGATTACAACAAAAACAAAAAATTTTATCAAGTTCTTTTGAATACACTAACCATTTTCTATCAAAACAATCACCATTTTTAATTTTCGTATAAAAAAATCACAAGAAAAATGTCTACCAAGTGCATCTTTTGGAAAAATTGTGTTTTTATCAATTTCTCTATTTTTCCCTTTTTCTATTAGTAAATCTTTCATTTCTGAATCTAAATCATCCCATACTCTAGGATCAAAAATATTAAAATCACTTGGTTTGCGTTCTCAACAAAGTCATTTTTTTCAGAATCATTAGAAATATCAACCGAATCATTGGAAGTACTTTGTGGAATATTAAAATTATCATTTTTTTCAAAATCACTATCATTTTGATTTCTAACCAAAAATTTATTCAAAGACCCTCTTAATTCATTAGCGTCTTATTGTTCCTTTTTTTCGTTTTCTATTTTGTGAACCAGATGGTTGTTTTCGGGGAATCATTTTAAAAACACAACAAATCTAGTTATAAGCAATAAACAAGGAAAGATACAACCTGAAGAACACACAGCAGCAAAATTTGAACAACCTTCACAGAATCACAGTTGTCATATATCAGAACAAAGAAACCTCCTGATTCCTGATTCACATCACAAAAACAAGAAACAAAAACACAAAAAGTTTACAAAATTGAAATTACATAAATTAAAATGAAACAGTAAAATTAAAATCAGAAGAAGAGTAGTAAAGAACTCACCCAAATCAGAAAAAAAAAAAATCACAATCACAGTGCTTTTTCGTTTTCCAGATTTCACCTTTCAGAATTTTGATTCAATGGCTTCTGATTTCAACCTTAAACAGGGGAGAAATCCAATCTTAAATCGAAATCACTCAAATCAGATAGAATGAAACACATAATCAGATAGAATGAAACACATAATCAGAAGACAAGTAGAGAACTCACCAAAATTATAAAAAAAAAAAAAAAAAAAAAAAAAAAACGAAATCATATCATTGTTTTTCGATTTCCAGCCTTCAATATGCCTTCAAGCCTCCTAATTATGTATTCACATCACAAAATCAATCACTTAATCAAATACTGAGATACAATGAAGATATGATGATTGATGTCGGGAATTTTAGAAAGAAATAAGAAACAGACAAAAGAAAAAAAAAACTGAAGTATACTTCCGTTTTCCTCTTGCTTCAGGCAGAAAATATCGAACCCAAATCAAGCACAATAACTATGAATCCTTGATACAACTCGGAATGAAGGAAAAAAATTGAATGGTACTAGCATACTGCAGCAGTATTCGATTTGCACAAATTGGGAATAATATAGAGAGAGATATAGAATAAGAAACAGAGAAAGAGGAATAGAAATTGGACCACACTTCAGGGATTATGAGTTATGTGTCTCGATCTCCACGATTTTCAAGGGTTCCCGTTACAAATTTGACGATTGAAGTTCTCAAGAGTTATCTTGGCGCTCCACGGTTACTTCCCGCTTCCACCTTCAGCTCCTCGTTTAGAATCCACGGTTCTTCTTGGACTGGTGGTGTTAGACTTAACTTTTGGGCAAAATGTTTTGAAATATATATATATATATATATATATATATATATATATATATATATATATATATATATATATATATATATATATAGGGTAAGGATCAAATAAAAACATTTAAAAGGTTGAGAATGCGAGAATTATTCTGGACCAATCAATTAATAAGGACATATTAGTAATTTTATATTTTAATTAAATTAAAACAAAATAAAATTCAATCAAATTTCCTAAATTTCCTTAAATTTAGGATCAGTTACCAAAAAATAAAAATAAAATATTTGATTTTTTATTTTTCTTATTAATGGAACATAAAATACATTTTACCAAAAATTATTTTGAAACAGAAAAAAAAAAGAATCTTAAAAAATCAAAATTTTCTCCAATTTCATTTAAATTATGCGTCAATCAGAAATGGATAAAAAACCAAACTATCAGTCATAAATGATTATATTAGAATTTGACATTTATTTTAACACAACTGTAATTAGTGATTAAAATCTCTTCTAGACCATGTATTCATATATGAATGCACATTTTCATTTATAAATATAAAATACTATTGTCTTTAATGAATACAAATATAATCGTAAATGAATAAAGCAAAATATAAAAATAAAAAAATCAAACATCAACTTTGGAATAAATAAATAAACAAAACACATTCACAATCATATATGAATACAATTATAATCACAAATGAAAATTTACAATGTCTTAATATAAATAAATTTTGGCTCCTTCCCAAGTTGTTGTCCATGTGCATTCTTCATCTTTCATCATTATAATCCTTTAGGTTATCTATATTAACTCTGTTAATCTACAAGAAATCAAAGAATTTTTTTTTCTATTATTTGTCAACAAAGTGCTTAACTTATTAACCAAATGCACATTTAATATGAAATTAATAAAGAACGACTGTAATCATCCACAAGAACTAAATATGTATTAAAAATCAAACAAAAAAACAAATATGCATAAATGAATAAAGCACAATCCTAAAACCTCTTATAGATTCAATAAGTAAACCTTCTTAATGATTAAACTTGAAGAATATTGCTTCTTTTAGTCACTAATGATTATAATTTAATCAAGAAAAAAAATCGGTTTTTGCTCTTGTTCTCACAAGAAAAAGTACAAATGTCACATTCAGATGATATAGAACCTTAAAGAACTTACAGAAAACTACAATTAAAAGAAAAATGAATTCAAATACAAAGGAGCAAAAAGTAAAGTTCAAAAATAAGTAAACTGGGCTAAAATTCTCGTTCATTAAGAATCAAATTAGCAAAAAATAGCAATATTCAGATTGGTTTTCAGAATCAGAAATCAAACTTCATTCTTCACATTTTAGAAATTGGAACTTGAAATTTTCATAATTAGAAATCCGCTAAGTATAAAGTAGGGAACCAAAGACTCTCGTATTGAAAATCAGAAATCGAATAATCAAATAGCCAATAAGGTTGATTACCTGATGGATCTTAAAGAGTAATCATTTTGCCAATAATTGACTTGTTGGTCTTGGACTAGAAAAGAAGAAAGAAGAACACGAAGAGAAGAGGTGTTTCTTTTCATTTTTGCTCTTGTGTATTTGTGTATTTGTAGCCCTAGAATCGAGTGAAAGGTGACATAAGGAGGCGCCTCATCTGGTATCATCGCGCCACTTCTGGTGTCACCGGTGATAGGTACAACAATGGTGGTCGTGATGTGATGTGATGATGCTGAACAGATCATCGTGATAGTATGTTTATGATGGAGGCGGATTTATTATAAAACCCTAGAGAGAGATAAGATAGACGGAGGGAATATAGATACGAGAAAGATGAAAGGAAAGAGGTGAGAGGGTGAGAAATTATAGGTAATAGGTAAAGCTGCAATTTCTATTATGCCCTTCTGATCATTTACAAGTTACATTTTTCATATATATATATATATATATATATATATATATATATATATATATATATATATATATATATATATATATATATATATATATATATATATATATATATATATATAT